GCACTTTCACTTCTGATTCTTCTTTCTCCTTCTTCCTCCAGCACAATCTTTTCCAGCTGCCGGCTTCTTTGTGGCGGCCATTACTGACCGCCGCTCCACTGCCTTGAGAAAAGGAGGTTATGCTGGGTGAGGAGGGGGTCTGCGACACCTCCTAACCCCTTCCCAGATCCTCCCTATCTTCAGCTGCCTCTACAGGGCAGCCTTATCCTCCAGACCCATCAGGATCGGAAGCACCAAGACAGGTAGCGCAACAGGGATTGCACACAGTCGCAAATCCCCGCCGCCGCCGAAGCCTGGCAAACTGGAAGACCCATCACTGCCCTATATCATTTTTGACATGTGACAGTCGAGTCTTCTTGAAAGCATCCAGTGTTGAAGCAACCACAACTCCTGAAGGCAAAGCTGTTTCATTGGTTGTTCTCACTGTCAGAAAATTTCTCCTTATTTCTAGTTTGCATCTTTCCTTGATCAGTTTCTATCCATTCTTTCTTATTTGGCTTCTGGGTGCTTTGGAAAATAGGTTTCTCCCACCCCCACCCCCTCAGCCCCTCAAATATTGGAAGACTGTTATCGTGTCACCACTGGTCTTTTTCTTCGCTAGACTAGCCATGCCCAGTTCCTGCAACCGTTCTTCAAATGTTTTAGCCTACACGCCTCTAATCTGATCTGGCCTTCCTTCCTCTGGCCAGGTTGGTAGTTCTCTTTTATGGAGTTGAGGGAAACTGCTTTACTGAGCGAGAGAAAGTGAGCTTGGGTTTGTAGAAAGTATGTTTGCCACCTTGAGTTATTTCTATATATAATAAAGGGGAATATAAACTATGTATGTATATTTGCTTTAGGGGGGAAATGTATACAGCAGGCCAACATATATAACTCCACATGTGGGATGGCATGCCTTTCTCTGGTATAAGGGAACTAAACACAGGGGTATTTCAGAAGACATTATATTCATGAGGCATTGTTTTTGAACTGGGAGAAGATAAAAAGACAATATTACTTAAAAATTCCAACATGGATATCAACTATTGAAGCTTTTTTTTAGCCAATAATATATAAAAAGGAACAAACAGTTGGATATGGGGAGATATTGAATAAAATGGGTGAACTTAATTCTATGCAAGCGTTGGAAGAACAAGGTGTAAAAATGAATTGGTTTTCATATTTGCAAATACAATCTAGGTTTGATAAAGACTCTAAGGCAGAAGGTATTTACGACAAGTTGACTGATTTAGATAAAATTTTGATGGGTACTGATGAAAAGGTAATTTAAAAACTTTATGGACGTCTATTAGAATTTAAATTGGAGGACAAACAAGTCAAACAACAATTGCTTGGGGGGAAATGGGATTGATTTAGAAAAATGGCAAAAATTGTGGTCTCAGAATTATAAAATGACAATGTCAACTGCATATAAAAAAAATTGTATAAGATGTTTTACAGGTGGCACTTACCCCCCAATGAGACTTGAGACAATGTTTAAGAATAAATTGGATAAATGCTGGAAATATCATCAGTTACCTGGTTCATATTACCATATGTGGTAGACATGTTTGGACGTGAAGATATTGGACTAAAATCCACACGATTGGAAAAAAGGATAAAACAACATATAGACCTTAAACCAGAGATCTTTTTATTGGGAGTCATACCAGACATATACAATAAAGGACTGAAATATTTGATTGTAAATGTTTTAACAGCGGCTAGAATTGTATTTGCGAAGAACTGGAAAAATGACAAAATATATGCAGGAGGAAGTTATCAAAAAAAATTATGGACTGTGCTGAAGTGAGTAAACTGACATTTGAAATTAAAGAACAAGAAGACAAGCAATTTTATAAGATATGGGATTTGTTTTATCAATGGTTGGATAAAAAGGCGTGGTAATGTAATAGACTAGATAATTTTGTGATAGAAATTTAATAGACTGATATAAAACATAATATAGATATATGTAACCACTGGTTGAAAGTATAACAAATTTTAAGATAAAACTTGGAACATCTCGTATAAAATGATGGAATAAATAGTTTAATCATGGATGATTAATAAATGATCAATATATAAGCATATGTTAGTTCGACAATGTGAAGACTGATTTAAGTTGTGAGTAAATGACTACAAAAGGATAGCACAAAAGATAAGTAACCAAGTGACACTCTGTATGGATATAAAATGGAAGATGGTTTTATGTTTTTATGTTTTGGATGTGTATGTTTGTTTTTAAAAATAATTTTTTTAAAAAAATGACTCCACATGGTTTACAGCAATACAACCTTAATACAGAAACCAATAAACCCCATATATAGCAAATGGCAAAATACAAAGCCTCGCGTATAGGGAACTTCTAGCAAGATTGATAGCAATTTGATGGTCTGGGCATACCCAAAAGATTATTCTAGCCTTTGTTCAATTTAGAAGTTAATGAGCCTTACTATTTGTACCTGGTGCCAATTGGTATTTTTCACCTTGCAAGGAATTAAATTGGAGACGTTCACAGCAGGATTAATGGCATAATACATTTAATAAATATAAACAAGCACCTGGTTCCAAATCAAGCTGCTGATGTGCAGGTATCTCTTCCTCTCCAAGTGCTTAGGGGAATAGCTAGATCTTCCTTGTTTTATGGAAGACCAGAAGGATAAAGTCCTGCAAAACTTCAGGGGCAAGAATATCACAGAAAAGACTCACTATCCAGTATGAAAATTTAAGCAAGGATGTTAGAAATTATGTTTTATTCTATAGAAATGGTAGCAGAGGATTATCATATAGACAGATTGGTAGCAGAGGATCTGTTGCATAGACAGTCCTCACTTACCCTTTGTTCCCTGAGCTTTCAAAGTTACTACATGTTCTGACCCAAACCTGGTTCCAAGAGAGCCAACACAAGACAAAGGCAGCAGCACAAGCTTTTAATGTTTCATCTATGAATTGTTTCTTCACAGATAAAAGGCTGCTTCCAACTAATTAGCTCCGACAAGAAACAGCCTTGCCAAGTTTTTGCAAGGCTGCCAAAAAAACAACAGATAAGAAATAGTTTACAACACAAGAGTCTTCAAATACCAGTTGTAATGTCCACAAGGCTGAGTTTCAAAATGTCTTTGCTTCCTACAAAGAACGTTCGCTGCACAGCTACCTTTTATCTTCTTGAAGGAGGGGCCATTACCTTGCAGCCTTACTCCTGAGTCACCTGTGCTATTGCAGCTGCTCTTTCCTGCGAGCAATCCTGCATGCATGCACACTTGGCACAGGCTCCTCGGGAACCTCCTCATCCCTGCTGCCAGCCCCCACAATCTCTGAAGGCAGCAGTGCACTCACTAATGGTCCTGACCCCTCACCTGAGTCCTCGTTCTCCTCAGCTGTCCGCACCTGCTGCCGGCTAACCACAACACTACGGCACTAAGCAGACATATGGTCCGTAGATTTGTGGCCATTGTGGAACTTTTTCAGTGACCCCATTTCAGCACTTCCTGTGGTTCTGAAGGTGCAGGAAAAGGAGTTGCACCAATTTGACCTTCTCAGCTTCTGACAAGGGGATGTTGTCAAGAAGCTTCCAGTCACAGTCACGTGAAAGTGTCTTTAACAACCCACAGTGATTTGCTTAACTGCACTGGAGCAGATGTAAATTGGCACTGTCATGTGACATCATGCTTAGTGATCGGGCTTCTTAGTAACACGGGTGCCAATCCCGAATGTGATCAGTAAGTGAGGACTACTTGAACAGGGATGCCACCACAGGGGTTGTGGGCAGTATTTTTTGCCTTTATTTGCAGCTCAGGACATGGGCAAAACTGTTGGTTCAAATCTTGCTGAAGTTTTAGGCATCATTTCGTCATTTAAAGGCTCCACATCTCAAAAAGTAATGCAGACGATTGGACCGTAACAATTTAGGGAGATTTTTCAGGCTAAAATACAAATGGATTTCTACACATATACATTTGTAGGTGTGTGCATTTGTATTTCTTCAGATGCACGTATCTGCCCCTGTATAATCTTGTCCCCAACATGTCCAGATATACATTGGATATAGAACATATTGCACACTCCTTGTAAAATGCCAGGGTTTTGAGATGTAAAACAAATGAGACCAATATAAATCGCCCAGGAAATTTGTCCACCTTTCATATAATGTATGAGCTGTACAATTCAATTGAAATTCAAACAAATCTTTCATGGGGAAGAAATGACAATAAAAATCTTACAATAACATGGTTCATAAAGATGTGCACCCTTAAAAGTTAATATTTTTTTGAAGCACTTTTTGATTTTAATCACAGCAGGCAGGGCAGGAGTCTTTAGACCAGCTTTCCGCAAACTGGTTTCCTCCAAGTGTTTTGCTCCAGCTGCTTGGGAATAAATAAGGCTGAAAGATAATAAGGCTGGGAATTGCAAAGGACGCTGTAAGCAATTCTGCCTTCTAGCAGGATTTAGACTCCCCAATTATACAGACAGGAAGATCACATCTACCTCCTATCTAAATGGGGCTCAGAGGCAATGCCAGTGGATTCTTCCCGGTTCCCGACCTTACAGATTAAGAGTTGGAAGGGACCTTGTAGGTCATCTAGTCCAACCCCCTGCCCAAGCAGGAGACCCTACACCATTTCTGACAGATGGGAGCCCAGTCTCTTCTTGAAAGTCTCAAGTGATGAAGCTCCTACAACTTCTGAGGGCAAGCTCTTCCATCGATTGATTGTTCCCATTGTCAGAAAATTTCTCCTTATTTCCAGGTTGAATCTCTCCTTGTTCCGTTTCCATCCATTATGCCCATTTAGAGCCACACAGAAACAAAAACATCATGAACGTTAAGGGCGCAGCACTTAAACCTAAGTCGGGGCAAGCCTCAATATTACAGCGACACGCATGCCTGGAATGCAGTGAATATAGTACAGTAGCGTTTTTGTTAGTCGGCTGGAGGGGTAGAAGTAGAGACGGAACGAGTTGAAACGATAGAGGATTGGACTGCTAGAGGGGATGTGGAGGACAGAGGAACTTCCTCTTCCGGCTGACCCAGGGGAGGATAATGGTGTCGGTGGAGCCTTTTGTGCTGCTTGGTGGGCTGAAGCGGCTCCTGGGAGGTGAGTGGAGGGCAGGTCGGAGGAGAAGCCGGGAGCAAGTCCGGCCCTTTGGCTTCCTCCACGGCGGGGAAGCAGGGAAGGGAGAAGGCTGAAATATGTCAACTGTTGTTGAATATGCTTCCCGTCCCCGAATTTTATTATCCTTTTGCTGCACGATTTAAAACGGCTACCCGTGGTTTACTGCTGGGAAATTGGGGACATTTAAAAAGTCTTTATTTCATGTTTCTATCTCCCTCGCCCTTCCTGTAACATTTCATGCATTTCATGCATTTCATTGCATGTTGCTTTCCTGGCATGCGAGGAGTTCCGTGGGCAAAACTGGATGCTCTAAATCTTGCATAGGATTTGGACACCGTTTCTTGTGTTAGTGTCCTCACCTTTCTAAAATTAGATCAAACGAAAGTGAATCCACTTCTGAAACATTTTGAAGACTGACACAGATAAATTTATAGGTGTGCATTTATCTGTTTGCATGGATAAATGCCTCAGTATTTTCAGGTAATTTTAATAAGAAAAGTTTACAGTGATACTCTCTGATTTACCTAACCCAACAAGAGAATTTCATGATTTGAAATTTGAGTGGATATTTGAACTTGGATTTGGCTGCTCTACTATGTGCTTAATGAATCATAATGAATATTAGAGGTTAAAGTAGCATTCTCTTTGCTTTTTCATAATAATATATGGATTTCTTTTTTTTTTTTTTGCTGTTTTTGCAGGTTCTGCATCCATTATTTAAACAATAGTGAAACTAATGCATTAATATGAATCTTATAGAAAAAGCAGATGCCAAGAAGAGCACTCTGGACAACAGAGAATGAGAAACAGCATTAAAATGCAAAACAACCATCAATCAAAATATTTCCATTTCTTCCAGAGAGTGTTGAAACTTCTTTTTCCTGAGCAGATGGAGGGAGACAATGGAGAGAATGATAGGAACAGAGTTTTCAGGTGGAAAAATACATTATGTGGAACACAAGAAAATATTGCATGAAAATGTAAAAAGATAGCATTACCAAATTCAGAAAAATTGTGAAATAGCTGGACATCACTGGGAAGGAAAAGATCTCTTGGATAGCCAAAGGCATTGATAAAAGGAAGGAAAGGGTGTCTTGAATCAAAGCACCACCAAATAAGGGATCAGAAATATTTTTTGCACCCCAAAGTGTCAAACCCCCAAAGGCAGCCTATTGTGGGAAAAACACAGCTTGCAGATCATAGTTAAATTATTCACAGGAGGATCCATCCCTTGGAAACCCTTACAAATGCTTGGAGTGCGGTAAAAGCTTTACTCAGAATAGGGTTCCCATGACTCATGGAACAACCGAGGCAAGAGGAACAGCTCTACCAATGCTCCCAATGTGGCAAAAGGTTTAGCTTGCAAACTAATCTGGTAAGACACAACAGGACTCACATTGTGGAGAAAATATTTCAATGTCCTGATTGTGTGAAAAGTTTTACTTGGAATTCTGACCTGGTTATACACCAGCGAGAGAAAACATATGAGTGTCCAGATTGTGGGAAAATGTTCAGTGACAATTCCATCCTGCTGATACACAAGAGGACTCACAAAGGAGAGAAACCATATGAATGCCAAGATTGTGGGAAAAGTTTCAGTTGGAATTCTCTCCTGGTAGAACATCACAGAACTCATACCGGAGAGAAGCCATATGAGTGTCCTGATTGTGGGAAAGATTTCTCTCGGAAATCTGACCTGGTGAAACACCAAAGGATACACACGGGAGAGAAACCATATGAGTGTTCAGATTGTGGAAAAGGTTTCAAGGGGAATTCTGACCTGGTGATACACCAAAGGATTCACACAGGTGAAAAACCATATGAGTGTCTGCAGTGTGGGAAAAGATTCATTCAAAATTTCCACCTTGTGCGACATCACAGGATTCATACAGGAGAGAAACCATATAAGTGTCCAACTTGTGGGAAAAGGTTCAGTCAGAATTCTGACCTGGTGATACACCAGAGGACTCACACACAAGAGAAACCATATGAGTGTTCGAATTGTGGGAAAGGTTTCAGTAGCAATTCTGACATGGTGAAACATCAGAGGACTCACACAGGAGCAAAACCATATAAATGTCATTGTGGGAAGAGTTTCAGTCAGAATTCCTACCTGGTGAAACACCAGAGGACTCACACAGGAGAGAAACCATATAAATGTCATGATTGTGGAAAATGTTTCAGTCAGAATTCCTTCCTGGTGAAACACCAGAGGACTCACACAGAAAAGAAAGTGTACGAGTGTTCAGAATGTGGGGAAAGTTTCAGTTGCAAGTCTGAACTAGTGAAGCACCAGAAGACTCACAGAGGAGATAGATTGTATGAGTGTCCAGATTGTGGAAAAAGTTTCACTCAAAATTCCAAGCTGTTGAGACACCGGAGAACTCACACGGGAGAAAAACCATATGAGTGTTTGTATTGTGGGAAAAGTTTCAGTCAGAATTCCAACCTGGTGATGCATCAGAAAACTCACACAGGAGAAAAACCATATCAGTGTCCTGATTGTGGGAAAAGTTTCAGTCAGAATTCCTACCTGGTGATACACCAGACAACTCACACAGGAGAAAAACCATATCAGTGTCCCGATTGTGGGACAAAATTCTGTCATAATTCCTACTTGGTGAAACACCAGAGGACTCATGCAGAAGAGAAACCGTATGAGTGTCTTGAATGTGGGAAAAGTTTTACTTGGAATTCCCATTTGGTGATACACCAAAGGACTCACACAGGAGAGAAACCATATGAATGTCCGGATTGTGGGAAAGATTTCAGTAGTAAGTCTAACCTTATAAATCATGTAAGGTTACACATAGGGGAGTAACCATTCAAATAGCTAGATTGCAAACTATGTTTCACACAAAGTTCCTCCCTTATTACACACGAAACATCATTTGATGTGTGTAGAAGAATCTTGAATTTGTG